CTCTCTCTCTCACTCACTCACTCACTCACTCACTATCTATCTATCTATCTATATATCTCTATCTATAAAAGGCAGGATGTGTGTGTGTGTGTGTAACGAATGCACGGCCGCAATTTTTGACGGATTCGCACCTTAATTTACATGCACATGCTCCAGGTTAGCGGAAAGGACAAGACCGACTTTGCATTTCCCAACTCCCATCGATAGTGGAAATAATCGATTTTTTCACGCTTCTACGGCAGTTTTCATGTAGTTTGCGGCCATTTTCTACTGGCCAGAGTGAGAACCTATAGCTGGCTACCACGAATAGGCAGGGAGGTTCTCTTGGCCAGCGTGAGAGCCAGCAGCTGACTGACACGAATGTTAACTAGCATGCTAGCATGCAAAAAAATCGATAGCTGCATTCGTCACAAGTGGAAAAAAATTTAAATCTGCATGGCACTTTACTCCAATTGGCTCATTCGCTTGCTTACACTCAACGTTGATTCTGATTCAGCAGAACTGGGTTGGGTGTGAAAAAGTATTTTTTGTTAACATTCTTTTTTCATTCGGTTTTTCCAGTTACGAGTCCTTTTTTAAAGCTGATCGTTTTGTGTTCATTTTGTTTAGTTCTTTTTTCGTAACAGATTTAATGTTTAGTGTGAGATAGGCAAGAAGTAAGGCATGTAGCAATATCAGCACGGCAAAGGGCACTCCTTTAAACGCAAGGAAGGCCAAAAATATTTTAAGTCAAGTGATAGCGATTGCTATATGAGTCGTACGATTTTGAATCAAGCACGGGCAACGCCAATATGCTGCTAGTATATATATATATATATATATATATATATATTAATTTAAACGTTATTTTTGGGGATACCCGTATTTGAGTACAATATACGGATTTTTAACCAGTTCATATTTCTTGAATGTGCAGGCCAGGTAGACGAGATAAACACTGATTAAGAAAAGGGTCAATTTGCTTAAATTCATCTATGCACCAAAATAACATTTGATGCAAGAGAAAATATGTCGGATTAAACATAAAAGTCCATTAATTCTTTGAAATTGCTTTGTTTCCGTTTCGGATACGAAACTTAACAGATATTTGTGTTAAAGCAAATAGAAACTTGCTTGCACGTGGGATCAGACGTCGTTTGCTCCTATGAACAGGATCACATGTTCGAATAATGCTGGGGTCGATATTTTTTATAAACAAAATAAACAAACTTTGAAAGCAGGACGTTTTTCTCAAATACGGGTATGCACATTATATATATATATATATATTAATATTTGGTAATCCGTATGGGTAATCCCAAGGAGGATGAAATCCTGAGAGCTCAATGTAAACCCATGGCTCTGGTGAAATAAATTATTATAATGGTTCCTTAAAAGTGGTCTGTTTTTTCCTTTATATATATATATATATATATATATATATATATATATATATATATATATATATATATATAAAATTTTACTTATCCATCCGTCAGATTTTTTTTATCACTTAAAATGTTATTTATAGTGGATACTCATATTTGAATAGAGGTTTCATTTATTTATTAAACAATATATTCATTTATTTTTGTCAAACACCCTGGATATTCGAGAAATCTTAGCGCATATTTTTTTCTTCCAATGTGATTTTTCGAATATTCAGACCGGTAGACGAAAATAAATAAATATACCGTTTAATGTATAAATGGAGCGTTTATTCAAATAAGAGTATCGACTAAGAATAGCGTTAAAATTGAGAAAAAATCTGTCGGATTGATAAGTAAAATCAATCTTATATATATTGGGCACCTCGAGGTGGTGTAATGGTTAGCAAGCTTGTCTCGATAGAACAATTACGGTTTAGTAGTGAGTTCAATCCTTACTTTCGGCCTTGTGCCACATCTAGGCTACGCTTGGAAAATCAATTGGGCACCTCGACGTGGTGTAATGGTTAGAAAGCTTGTCTTGCTAGATCAATTACGACTGAGTTGCGAGTTCGATCCTCACTGGGTGCCCCATACTTTCGTCTTTGTGCCACATCTAAGCTGAGCTTAGAAAATCACTATATATTTTAAGACATTTTTTTTTTATAGATACAAATATTCAAGTAAATGCTCTGTTTAAACAGTATTAAACAACATTTACCGGCCTGAAGGTCCGAGAAATTTTCACAGATAATATTCGTCCTCCGACAAGATTCGAACCTGTATCCTATACGGAACCGTCATTTAGCTTGACGTGCCTTTAACCGATTTGGCCGCAGAGGTGCTTTCGGTTAACAAAGTCGGATTTACTGTATTTGAAATTTAATTCGATGACAATTCAAGATATTTGCTTTGGAATAATTCTTAAATATTAAATGTGTTGGAAATCATAAAATGATTAGGTATCAGTGGCCGTATCAAAGATAAGATTACCTGACGAAACCTATCCTTCCTCTGGTTTTTCTAGCATTTATCATTTCTCTACCAAGAAAATAAATAGTTGAATGATAAGATTCCTTTCTCTTAGACTGGCTCCCATTCAAGGCAAGAGAACCTCGTTTGACCTACTATTTAACACGAAGAGAGACGGATTTTTTTTTTTTTTTTTGCCAAGGGAATCCGAAGGCCGTGCGGATGGTGTACATGGCATGTCAGGAATGAGCTTTAGATATTTGAACTGGTGGAACACACACAGTGGCTCATCAGAACATTTTCTATGGAAAGACCGTTAGATTGCCGAAGGACA